AAAGTTATATACATGATTAAATTGTCTTCATTTTCACCATAGTTGTTTGGGATTCAGCAGTTTTTTAATCTGTTTATGATGTTATCATTTTTGTTACTGGAAATGTTTTAAAAAAACAGCCCTTTTTTCCCCCAGTATCTTATTTTACATTACTTTGTTAACTTCTATTTTTGTTTGTGTTTTTTAAATAAGAGCCAGACTTCAGTCTCCTGAAGTCTTTCACCCTTGCTAGACATTTGCTATAATCACTTGAGCTACATAGCTTTTTTTTTTACCAGAAATTGAGTTTATTTGGAAATAGCAGAGAAGTGGCCTTTCAGAAATGCATTCTATACCCAGGCAAATCCTTGTAAGGCTTGGGACACTGACTTTATGGACAAAAAGCATAGAGAGGGGGAATTCCACCAGAGTCAGAGCAATCATTTCTTTAATTTTAAGTAAATTTTAAAAACTGCTAAAAGCTGAGCTTTCAGATGGTAAAGTTGTACGCCTAGGAATTTTATGCTCCTAGAACTTAAATTTGTTTTGTTTTTTTCATTGCTGAGGAAGGAAATCTTTGTATCTGCAAAACCAACTTTGATTGAGCTGGTTTCAGGCTACTGTGTCTGTATCAAACAGTAACTTGTTCCAAATAAAGTAATTAAAATGTAATTCATATTTTAATGATTTTATGAAGATTTGAATGTAAGTCAGCTCTACCAGAGGAAGGTTTTATCACTTTATATTTGTATCAGATGGAATTTGGTTGAAAATTTGTTTTAGACCCATGTAGAAGCAATTGTGAAAAACTTAGTAATCCAAGGCACATGACTCTCTTGCAGAAAAATAAATAATATACAATAAGAATGAATTCTCAAAGATTATAATCTATTATAGTAAGATCTACATAATGAGAATCAAAAGGAAAACCTTTTCTGAAACTCAAAAAAATAGAAATCAAAAAGGACAATTTAATCTTACAAAGAGAAACAGGTAGAATAGAAGACATAATGAAAGAATGAGTTACTATTAAAGACTATTGATTCAGTTTAATTTTTAATTAATAAATATGAAAAAATTAAATTAACCCTTACTCTAGATTTGCTCCTAAAGACAGACCCTGTGTAAATTGAAACTTTATAAATTGGATAAGGACTCACTCTTGATCCCTAATTATGTCATACCAAGCATTCTTCCTTGCAGCAACTGGGAGTAATCTATTACTCCAGGGTTGCAAGGAGCCCTGGGAATTGGCTAATATGCTTACACTTATAAGAGAATTTAGAGGAAAGAATTTTAGTTCATGTTTTTCTACATTTGTACTCAAAGGAAACTGGGACACTTTTCAATTTAAATATCTCCTATAAAGATCTTTATTTTAATTGTATAAATTGTACTTGAAAGCTTTTTTTATTTTTTAAAAAAAAAAGTAGCTCTAGCTGCAGTCAGATGTAGTAGGCTGTATAGTTCCATGTACAGAGGATGGATATCATCTTTCCATATTATGGTTTCTAAATAATGGTTAATTTAATTCTATTGCCAGTTATTGAGGCAAAATATATTCCAGGCTAGTTTTGGTTTGTTTATTGCTTAAGATGTTTTGTTTTGTTAGTATGTATTTTAAACTTGGGACATGTTGGTGAAATGTTCTTGAATCAGTTCTTAAGAAAAAAGTACTTGACATCTTTCAGTTTTGATTGTTTGGTTTTGGGCTGTACCCAGTGGTACTCAGGGCTTACTCCTGACTCTTTGCTCAGGAGATCATATGTGATGCCACGCATCGAAGGCAAGCATCCAACCCACTGTACTATCACTCGAGCCTCAACTGTTGTTTTAAAAAATAATTTTTACTGTCATCAATTTTTCTGTGTAGACATGTTTATTTACTTCAAAACATTTTCCAAAGTATATGTAAAATCTATTTCACAGAAATAATTAACAAAGAAACTCATCCTAGCTATGTAATAGCATTCTTTTATGCTAAGTCCACACAGAATTTTATGAACTTTTCAAAGGTTATTTTTAAGAAAAGATAACTCTCAAGTACAAGAATGTTCAGCTTTTTCTATTTTCTCAAAGACATCTGTATTCCTTGGCTCATGATCTTTTTATAACGTCACTCTAACCAGAGTGCCTCAACGTATTTACACCGTGAGACTGGCCTCTGATACTAATCCATGAAACAGCAGTTAAAATTGAAGCAATAGTAGGGAAAAAAGATGAATAGAAACTTCCTCAAAGAAGAGGGACAAATGGCCAAAATGTACATGAAAAAAATGATCTACATCACTAATCATCAGGGAGATGCAAATCAAAACTACAATGAGATACCATCTCATGCCACAGAAACTGGCATACATCAGGAAGAGCAAGAACAACCACTGCTGGCACAGATACAGAAAGAACTCTCATTCACTGCTAGTGAGAATGCTGATTGCTGCAGCCTCTTTTGGAAAGCAATTTGCACATTCCTCAAAAACGTAGAAATTACTCTACTATAGGACCCAGCAATGCTGCTCTTGGGAATATATGTTAGGGACTCAAATACAAATGCAGAAAAGTCACCTGCACTACTATGTTTTCTGCAAAACTATTCACAATAGCCAAAATCTGGAAACAACCCAAGAACAGATGACTGGATAAAGACACTAAGGTACATTTGCACGTTGGAATACTATGCAACCATTATGAAAACACTGAATATGGAGTGTACCATCTGAGTGAAATGAGACAGAGGGAGAGGGACAGACATAGAATGATCACACTCATTTGCAAGATATATATATTTTTTAAAAATGGTATGAGAATAATACCCAAAGACAGTAGAAACAAGGGCCAGGAGGAAGGGTCTATGATAGGAAGCTTGCCACGAATGGAAGGCTAAGTGGCAGAGTTCAGTTGGATAGAGAAAGGACCACAATGACATTGATAGTTTATCGTGGTAAGTGAAATGAGTCAGAGAGGGTGGGACAGAATAGAATGATCACACTCATTTGCAGAATATAATGTGTACATTTAAAACTCCAGGTTTTCCCTTGCAGCGCTTTTAACCCAGTCACAAATTTGAATTTGGCATTCAACATTTTCATTGTCGCTCAGTTATAAGTAACTTACTTTGCTATAAGATGTAAGAATTACTTCAGTTTCCAACCATATGATGGAAAGATCCTTTAGTAATAGATTATGATTTTGTATTATGATCCAAACATTTAAAAATTTAAGTCTTTTGATGGGTAACACAGTCATTTTTATGAATGTTTATGTGCTTGAAAAGAAAACATAATGTTTAATTATTGAATATAAAAATTTACCTTTATTGAGTACCTTAAATATGTTCATTTGATTCTTCAATTAAAAATTTCAGTATTTTTGCCAAATTTGGTTGACCTATCAGTTATTGGACTGAAAATGTTCCTCTTTGATTGTGTATGTTCATTTTCTTAAAATTCTACCAAATCACTCTGATATTTATAACCTTGTTTGTCCAAAATATTTACAACTATGAATTTTTCTTATAAGGTTTTATTTTGTCATAGTGACATGATCTTCTTTATTCCTTGTTAACTTAGTATATATTTTATTTGATTAATAAAGTCATTTAGTTATTTTAACATTTTCATGATATATGTACCTGGTATTTAGAATTCTCAGGAGAAACATTTCTCTCTCCAGAGCCCTGGCTTTTGCTATCTCTCCTATCTATAATAAGGCATATCTTTGCGGTTTATCCACCTGTTGAAAGATTAGCTACTCAGTTGTCCTTTTTGTTTATTGAAGTAAAAATGTATCATAGCATTATATGGTTTAGGTATGAATCTTTGAAAACCTCAAAATCCAAATCCCCATTTACTGACTCTACCATCCTTCACTCTCCTCCTCTTTCTCAAAATCTACCCTGTCAGCTCCACAGCAGCTCATTTGCTAACTGTAATTTTTGGCTTTCAGTTCTGGCCACAGGGGATTCCCCTTTGCAGATACAGAGGTGCCAGTTTATATAGTCAGTTATACTTTCTTCAACATTCGTAACTGTTTTGGAGGGAAAATGATACTGGGTTATCAGAACTGGCATATTTCAAGGCCGTTTCCTTTTAGGAGTGCTAATCTGGCCTAGAAATGGTACCATGTTGATCAACAATAAGGTGACTGATTTTTGTCCTTTCTGAAACTTGGCACCATGTGAATTTAGTACAGCTGATGCTTGAGCAGATACTATCTAGGTAGGTGGCAACACTTAGAAAAATCCGTCACTTTATGTATTTTATTATTTAGAGCCATTTTGAACTGAGAATACCAGAACACAGATCTTTAAGCAAATGTGATGTTAAAGTAGTATTCAATATTGTTATTTAAGACTTTGTAAAGCAGTTTTATTAGTGTTATAAAACTGATTTAAATTCTTTCAATGCTATATAAAATGTTACGAGCATTTCAGAATTATGTCAATGCATTGTATTGTTGTGATCTATCATAAGAGGCGGTAAGCAGTGCAAATATTATGTTTAAAATATAGTAACAGCTTGTAAATTGTACTAATACAAAGTTTGTACAAAGTAAGCATTATATATGTGCTCCAGTTCACATTGCATTCCTCATGAATTAGAGCAAATACATGGTGTATGACATAGAATAATGTGTTTTATTTTTATAATTTTCCTATGTTCTTTTTTTATGAAGTACCAAAAGAACGAGAGTCTGACAAAAATTTCCTTTGAAAATTTTTATATCTAATATTTTTCTTTAAAAAAAATCTTAGAGTTCAGGTTAATTTGTTTTCTAAACATTGCTACATTTTCACCAAGAAAAAAATTTTAATCTAAAGAATTAATTGAATAATAAGCAGAATATCATTATTTTACTCTTAATGTTTTAGTCCTGTGTATCCAAAGGAACAGGTTCTAAGATAATTGGTCTGTTTCTTGATTCTTCTACTATGACTAAGAAAAAATTAACCAGTAACTTTGAGTTACATTGTCTGACACAAGTATGTATTTATAATAAAACAACTTTATATTTTCTTCTAGGTTACCTTTCGAACAAGAATCTATCACTGTAATATTAATAGCCAAGGTGTTATCTGTCTGGATATCCTCAAGGACAACTGGAGTCCAGCTCTAACCATTTCTAAAGTTCTCCTTTCCATCTGCTCACTTCTTACAGATTGCAATCCTGGTAAGAAACTTTAAATCCATTATTGAATTTGGAGCTATTTAGAACTTAAATGCCAGGTCTTAATTAAAAATGTGCTGCTATCACATCTACTACTATCACAACAACTACAATTATTATTATCATTGATTTTAAATTTCTACAGACTATAACTGTTTTCATTTTAAAGTGAATTCTCTCCTAAGTCTTTTAAGACTATCATTTACCCACAAAGAAAAAGCACAGTGTGATTTATAAAAAATAAGTCATTGTAAATTTAGTGAATTTAAATAATGTATTGAATACTCTTGCAAAGAATAATAATCAAATAATATAATCTTTAATTATGCCTGCTAGAAAGTGTTAATTTGAGAAATGTTGACTGATAACAAGCAGGCAAAATAACACAAGCATGACCTTTTTGACATCTTAATGACCATGCATCCTGACAAGCAATTAGATTTTTTTTTCAGCTGAATAGTCCTGAACTAGGAAATACTCAAAAAGTTAAAAGGAAATAGAACTTCCCTGGAAAACTAAAGAAAGTTTATGGCCAGAGCTTTGTGGCTTTCTGATATGATTAACCCTGAAAGTTCTTACTTCCTGTGTGTTCCTAGAAGTGTGATTATGGGTCTTTGCCCAACTTCTATTAAATAAAATACAAACCAACTACCAATTTTCTACATATCCAGGTTTGTTTTAGAAAATATGAAGATCCAAAGGTAGCTATAGAGTTTTCATTAATGTTTTCAATTAAAATGTTCTTCCTTGAAATTCCGTCTTGCATCTTCAGGAACAAACAAACCACTCGTTACGTAAGTGAAGTTTTAGACAAAAGATAAATGAAACAGGAAAAAAATGGGACTAGGGGTTTCTTGTAGATTCTTAGCTGGTATATAAAACATGAGAAAATTATACTTTTTTTCTGTTTTTTAGTAACAAATTTTTAGTAACAAAAACTTTTAATGAAATGTAAATGCAGTATAATATATTACAATACAATGTAATATATTTATAAAATATATAACAAATCACACATAAAATATAATTATGCAAGATCACTGTAAAATATGTTTATTTCAAACTTTAGCCCAGTTAGTAAAGTCCAGTAAAACTGCGCTTTTTAAAATTGAATGACAGGTACTTTGTGTTTTCAGTCTCGTTATTCCTGCTTTAATCTGATTTGTCTCTGTGTACAGTAGAACCTGATTTGTAGGTAAATGTCATAAAAATATTTGTTTGGGTTTTTTTCTGCTAATATGTGGCCTAGACCAGGTGGTCCACATAAGCTGCTGGGACATGAGTTTTCATGTGCATCCCCACTCCAAATAAAAGTACTGCTTATGAGATTTGCTTAAATTGGGAATAAGGACATTTTAAGGGAAAATCAACCTTACTATGAGATGTATGTAAGTCACTTGTAAAGAAAACTTTTCATAAATAATGATGTTGTATATCATAAACAATGCCAAACATCAGTTACATCTTAATAAAACTGTTAGGAGAGAGGAAGAAACGATATCGTAGCATCTGTGAGACTAGGATTCTGAATATTTATTAAGTTCCTAGAGGAATAAGTCCTATTCCTTATCAATAAGATAAGGTGTAACTTCACACTTTGAAATAGAACACAATACTAAGAAACTGTCTTTACACCAATGGTAAATTGAACTAGCTTGGTCTCCCATGACTTGTCATCCTGGATCAGCTTATATGTGAGAGTCTGTTCTCTATATACAGGTAACCCTCTTTAATGAGGTAGATTTATTTCAACAAACCCTTCTATTGCCAGTCGGATTTCTGTTTAACAAATTGAATTTCCTTTTGCTGTGTCTCAAAAAGTTACAGGGGCATTCTGCAAAAATATAACAGTAAAAATCAACCCTTGCTGGGCAAAATCACTAAATAAAAGAAATAGATTTTTAAAATAATACTGTTGATGTAAAATTAAGCTTCATGATGATAATATTCCTTGGGTATTGCCAGCTAGAAACAGTCTAGCTGATAAAAATTTTTTAAATATTCATTGCAAAGTACATGCTAACAAACTAAGTGTTCTTACTCTAACATACATGAAAAAAGCTTCCTTATTGGCTATATCATTTATGTATCTGTTCACATTTAGTTTTTAAGTTATTTATATTAAGTCAAAACCCATTCTTTTGTTTCGCAGATTTTTTTTGTTCTTATCTAGTATACTTTCAATCTCTCTAGATTCTTTTCCTGTAAGATACAAACTAAACTTCAATGCAAAATATTTTTAAATTTTCATAATTTGATAGAATGTGAATACTGACTCTATAGAACAATTTACATCAGGACTATTATCAGCTCAAAATTAGGCCTTGCATAATACAGAAAGTTGGTTACAATTTTTAAAAAATTTAAAGAAATTTCTCTCCATCTAGAAAAAGATGTTTAGTTTGAGAGTAGATTAAACATGCTTATTGCCTGATATTGAGAGTTTTGCCTGATATATTTTAAAACGTGCTCAAGTGATAATTTATTAACTGTGTGATCTTTTACGGTCACTTAATCTTCTGTGATCTTACTTTCTTATATAAAATTAGATTATTGGCCTTACAAATCACAGGCTTTTTATGTTTGAAATGAGTTGATGTTTGCAAAGTCTTTGAAAACAGAGCAGATTGTTGTTGGTGTTATTTCCCAGAATATCAAGCACATGAAATGTGCAAGCATGTATGTATGTGAATGTGTGTGTAGCTTCATTCAGTTGAGAAGATACTTTGAATTATCTCAGATAGACGTTGCCCTGAACCATGATAAGGTGTAACTTATTACATAACTTATGTAAATTTTTGAATTTTATTATCTTAAAAAAAACTGAGTTTGTGTTTTTGATATTATCTCTTCTGAAGGACTTTTTTCTCAGGTAGCAAATGTCAAATAGTTATCTTCCAGTTGAAGTGTGCATCAGAAGTAATCATTCTGTTCCCAGTGCAGTGATCTGGGTAGGTCTAACTGCTGACCTTAATAGGGCTGTTCACACTTCGCAAGTGTTTATTGAGCCTGATATAGCACTCTTGTTTGTCCGACATTACCTGACTGCCAACATATGACTATAACACATTGTCCTAGAGCAAAGCAGAGAATAGAGGAAGAAAAGTTTTATTGGCCAGCACTAGCTTTCCTGAGTCTCTTCAGTGAACATGATTTAATCCATGAATTACTGCTTTTTGAAGTACAAGTTAAATTCCCATTATTTTATGAAATACTCTTACTTGAAAATACTCTCTTCTCAAGCAAATACAAAATTTAAACTCTCTTCTATTTATTTCATTTTTATGGACTTAAGATCTATAAATAATGGATATTTTCTCTCATCACTAAAGAACTATTCTGAGAATACTGACAATTGTGAGCTAAAATCATGAGATCAGTGTTTTCTCTATACCAAAATCTTTATTTCCAGATAATGTCCAAAAAATTGCCTTTTCTTTAAAATCTTTTTGTTGAAAAGTTTACAAATCTTCATATTGCCTGCCATTATTTTTATTAATTTTAATTTCGGTAAAAAAAAGAACATTCACTGCGTAAATTAGTAACCCTATTTTACTGGACCGAGGCACCTAAGATTGCCAGCCACCCCTACCTAATCCTCTCTAAGGACAGTAAAGTTCATCTGAGGAATGTCTTCTTTTTGTTTATTTAGGTGAAAGTTTGGTGGGGAGGAAGTATTCTAAGGGTAGCCTTGTGAAGAATGATCCCATGCATACAAAGATTTCATCTTTATCATGGAGTCACATTAAAAATATTCTAGGGCATGAAGTTGGGGTTTTTTTTCTGCCCTACCCACTGTGCTATTGCTCTAGCCCCTCTACCTGTTTTTATCCCAAGAATCTTTTTTTTTCTTTTTGGGTCACACCCGGCGATGCACAGGGCTTTTTCCTAGCTTATGCACTCAGGAATTACTCCTGGCAGTGCTCGGGGGACCATATGGAATGCTGGGAATCGAACTCAATGGGCCGCATACAAGGCAAATGCCCCTCCGGCTGTGCTATTGCTCCAGCCCCTCTGTTCACAGTTTTAAAAATATTTTTTTCAATCATTTGCGGATATCCAGTGATTTTGTGCCATAAATAACAATATGACTTTGCTCAGGGATTACTCTTGGAGGGTTCAGGGGACCATATGGAATGCTAGGGATCAAATCCAGATTGATGGGGGGTATGGTGCCGCCAACAGGTCAACTTGTACCTGTGGGGAGAGTGCATCAGCAGCCTGATGTTGCCTTTAGGCTTCCTGATACCCCAAAATTGCCACTGTGCCCTTAGCCAGACCCCAACAACTTGGGAACAAGTTTACCAAGAAATTAAACAGCCAAAAATTAGGTATGTGGGAGTCACACCCACAAACCACCTCCAGCCCCGCTATATAAGCTGACTCAGAGTTGGGATGGGCTACCTCCCCCACTTCCCAGTACACACAGAAGAACTGGCAGTCACCTCCATGAACCAACTCCAGCACCATCCTGTAAGCTCTACTATTGGCCTTCCTCAGAGACCCCTAAATAAATCTCAAAAGAGATCAAAAACCGTAGTTAAGCTCAAACCCATACATAACTGAGCAGTTCGGAGTAAATTGGAGGGGTCAGGTTGGCCTGTGGCCGCTCAAGTAGAGTCCCCGGCAGCCCTTGCTTCCACAATCCAAAATTGCTGCCATACCCCAAGTCTGACTCCACTGTCTCACCAAGATATAATCTGCTGAAAATTTTGTAATGTGGATCTTAGCGCACCAGCAGACCTGGCCCAGACACACAGCAGCAAGTCCCAGAAGACACCACAGTGCTGGAGATCTCTCTGGGCCCCATACCAAGCCAATATCACCCCAGATGGAGCAGGTGCAGTCTCCCCGCCTACTCCAGATGGAATCCTGGTGACCAAGAGCTTCCACAAGCAAGGCCCAGGTATGTGGGTTCCAGGACTGCATCTCCAGGCTGCATGGTGGCAGAGGACCTGGGCTGTCCCTCCCTGGGTCCCCACCCACTTAGAAGATTGGCCATC